TTGCTGCCTGTAATGTATTTCTCGCGTTTACCCCTCATCCCTATTTGGACTACTGCTTCCTTCCATTCTAGCCAGTTAGTCATCATCCCCACTTCTCGTTTTGGTTCAGTCCGAAATCGACCTGAAATGCCCCCTAGAGACTTCCTGCTCACCTACTGTGAAATTAAGGACCAAATGGACAAACAGCAATGGCACAGCGCTCCGCTTGAGTCGCTGAGGCCAAGGTCCCTCCACACTAAGTCTCCGATTCCACTCCGGAGTCGTCTGTATCAGCCCCATTCTAACACAAAGGACCCATGTCATTGCAACGGTTTTTTGGTGTGCATTTTGGAGAAAGGAAAATCACATTAACTAGTATTTAGTATAGCCACCTTTTTCCATAAGTACTGCCTCAATCCTCCTAGGCATACTCTCGATTAAATTCTGGCAGACACTTGGTTCTATCCTCTCCCACTCCTCCTGAAACTGATCCCACAGCTCATGAACACTACTTGGAGGTTCTTCATACTCCCCAAGCTTCCTCTTTACATGGTTCCATAAATGTTTGATTGGATTAAGGTCTGGGGACTGGGAGGGCCACTCCATGAATGACCCTGATACCATGGTTATTGAACCAGTTCTGGGCCCTTTTGCTGGTGTGTTTTGGGTTGTTGTCCTGTTGGGAAAGGATGTGGGCTGGGTTTGTGTCATAATATGAGAGGGTTTGCTGGAAGTCCCCTTCCAGGATTTGGCAGTAGAGCTTGGCATCCATCTTCCCATCAATATTGCATGCCATTCCAACTCCATCCAATGTAATACATCCCCAAACCATGACAAAACCACCATGAATTTTTTTTGTTCCTTGCACCAGCCTGTCTGTAAGAGGTTCATCCACCCATTTCCACACCCATTTCCTCCCATCTGAGCCCAGGCAATTCACCTTAGTCTCATCAGACCACACCACTCTCTTCCAATCCTCCAGAGTCCACTCTTTGTGGCTGATTGTGAAGTCCATTCTCTCCTTATAACATCTGCTGAGGAGCATGGGCTGCTTCTTCTTCACCACTACTTTCCAACCAGCCTCCTTTAGTCACAGATGGACAGCCTCAGTTGAGAGGCTGGTGCTGGTGACTTTTTGAAGAATTCAGGTGACTTGTGCAGCATTGTTGGCTTTACCAGAGTTGATAAGATGCATTGCATGACAGATATTGGTGTCTGAGAGCTTAGATGGGCAACCACCACTAGGCTTAGGAGTGTCAGGACAATGTTTAGACCAAATATGGGTAACAGTGGAATGGTGGACAGCAGTAATTGATAAGCACTGTGGCCAGAATCAATGAGAAAAAGCACTTGTTCAATTTTCAAAGCAGCCAATTGATGCATTTTAGAATTGGGGATTACAGCTTGAAATCCATGTGTATTTATGCTCCAGCAATGTTTATTTGTTTACTAGTGTGTATAGTAAACAATATCACATGACCTATCACATGATATTTTCAGTTTCAGTCCATTCTGGCAGCACACCAAAAAATGTTGCAATGACATGGGTCCCTTGTGAATTGGATAACTTTACCAAAAATAGACACATTGCTTACGTAATTGGTGGAGTTATGTACAGGATACTAACACATGTTTAACATATTTATTTGAAATTTTAGAACCCTTTCCCATTGTTTAATAAGCTCTTGAAGTCAAAAGTGCAAAACATTGCAACGGTTTTTTGGGGCACTGTAGTTTCATTATTCTGATGGCTTCGTTTCTCAGTTTTATGCTTAGGACTTTGCAGCCGCCAGTGTCTACATCTAGGATCATCTGGTTCATTGCTATGGGGGGTGGGGCTTTTGATTGCCATAGGAACTCCCTCATTATTTTACTTAGGTGTTTCTCTACGGTTTCTGGCATTCCTTGGGCGTGGGTTTGGAATTGGGTCATACCCCCGATGGTCATCTGGATTATAAGTCTACGGCCTTCTAGGGTTGGGTGTGCTTTTGTTTTGAGTTGGTTCTCGATTTTTGATGTTATTGTGGGCCAGGGGTCGGAGTTTTTGGGGTGGTTGCCACATTGCGCTCCGAGGTATCTCATGGTGTCCCCTTCTTTTAGGACCATCATGTCGTCGGGGATTGATTCCTCTGAGGTTGGCTTTAGTTTTCGCATCTCTGTTAGTTGGCTCCTGAATTCTGGCAAGCCTACCAGGATTATTACGGTTTTCTCTTTGTTGAATTTCGCCCCAGACGCTATGCACCATTTTTCCAGTATCCCAAATAGTGTCGACATACTGTCGTTTTTTGAGATAAATACCATGGCATCATCGGCAAAGAGGGAAAGGATGATCTTTTCGGTGATGTTGGGGGTTTCAATTTTCAGGCCATTCAGTTCTTCTGAGTCTCTTAGGGCTTTCGATAGTGGTTCTATTGCGATGTTAAACAGCAGGCAGGAGAGGGGGTCGCCTTGGCGGACCCCTCTTTTTACTTGGAACTCGCTGCTTGTTTCGCCGTTTACTATGGCTACCGTTCTGGTGTCGCTGTAGAGGGCTTTGATCAGGTCTATGGTTTTCTTTGGAATGTTCATTGCTTTCATGGTTTTCCAGAGATAATCGTGTCAGATTTGGTCATATGCTTTCTCTTGGTCTAGCGCGATTATTGCGCCGTCTTGGCTTATGATCTCGCAGAGGTCTATCATTCGGTTGACTAGGTCTATCTGGTCAAAGATACTTCTGCCTTTGATGAATGCTGCCTGGCATTTGTTGATTAGTCGTGGGGCTAGTGGGGTGAGTCTGTTCATTATCGCTGTGGTTATAATTTTGTATTCTGTGTTAAGCACAGTAACTGGTCTATAGTTCTCTATTACTCATCTGTCCTTCTTTTTGTAAATTGGGCAGATCCAGCCTTTTAGTATTTCTGGGTCTTGGACGCCCATTTGCTCTATGTTATTTGCGAGGAGTAGGAGCATTTTGACTATGTCAAGTTTCTCTCTGTCATTGGGTTTCTTGGACATCCATCTGTTGTTCCATTTCTTGAGCAGCTCTGTTGGGGTTCCGTTTAGGCCAGGGGCCTTCTTGTTCGGCGACTGTTTTAGTGCTGTTAGGATCTCGGTATATTCTAGGGGGGAGTCTAGTGTTGAGGCTTCGTCTGGAGTGAGTTTTGCGGGGTTCAATAGGGTTTCTTCTATGATGTTGTCTCTAATATTCGCTGGGGTATCAAGGTCTCTGTTTTGTACGGAGTCATAGTGTTCTGCCGCAATCTCCGCCATCCTTTCCGAGTTCGTTGTGTATTGGGGGGGGGTGGGTGTTCAGGATTCTCATTTCGGGTATGGTGTCTCTTGGCATCTTTTCTTTCCCCCAGCGGCACCAGTACTTATTTATGGTTTCGGCTAGGAGGCGCTTGTTGGCTCTTGCTCTTGCTTTGCGGTTTGTGTATCTTGACATTTCTATTTTGGAGATTCTGTCTGTGAGTTCGCTTATCTGGTATTGTATCTCGGGGGTCTGGGTGTGGCTTGCCTGGGCAAGCTTGCTTGTGGCTTTGTCGCATCTTTTCTCTAGTCTTCTTAGGGAGGAGTTTATTTTCCCTGACTTGATAGTCTCATTGCCAGGGATTTAGTGTCGGCTAGGAAACCTTGGAAGATCGCTTGGGTGTTTCCGTCTTCGGTTTGTTGGGAGTGTTCCATCTTCTCAAGAGCCCCTCTGCCGATAGCCTCTGATTCTTTGAGGAACTGGGTGTCATCTATCAGGAAAGATGGGATAGCCCATCTGCCTCGGCCAATTCTGGGTGCGTTTAGGTCATGGAGTTCCATTGTGACCATCTGGTGGTCCGTTGTTGGGAGCCCCGAGCTTTCGATTCCCCAGTGTAGTGTTCTCTTGGTTATTTGGTCTTTTGCGTAGATTCGGTCGATCCTCGAGAGGTGGGTTCCTCCTGCATGCCTGTATGTGTAGTTTCTTTCTGGGGGGGGGTTCGCGTGTCTCCACCCGTCCGTTAGTGCTTTTTCTATTTTCAGGTTGCGGAACGCTTCTACGGCCGCTGGGGCATCGTTGTGGGGGGGGTAGCGGTCTGCTGCATCTTCCACCATGTTTATGTCTCCCAGTAGTATGTCTATGTCCACGTTTTCAAGCTTATTACTTAGGGTTTCCCAGAATTCACGGTTCTCGTGTCCGGATGCCAATATGTTTGGGGCATAGATTGCTAGGAGGTTTATGGTCGTGTTGGCGGGCCATTCTACCGTGGTTAGCAGGGCTCGGCCTGGGATTATTTCGGTTGTGTCTGCTAGGTCCTTTTTTATTATATTTTTGTTCACGATGATTGATATTCCCTTTGAGCAGGTATGAGTTGGGTCAAATGAGTGGATGATGTGGAATTGTTTGTCATATCGGTCGTTTAGGTCTTTGCATTGGGGGGGGTCTGTATGGGTTTCTGATAGACATAGTATGGCCATTTTATTTTTTTTCATGTTATTTAGGAGGATATCCCATTTGTGTTTGGTGTTTGGGCTGTTCGCTCCTTTTATGTTCAGAGCTCCTATTTTTAGGTGGCCACCAGGTAGGGGGTCCGTGTGTCCTCCTCTGAGTCTTAGGGGCTGTCTCTTTGGTATAGCTTGGGTGTTGTTGCGTGGGGTTGGGGCTTTCTTTTCAGGTTCATGGGTTCTTTTTGTGTTTTTCCTTTTTTCCTTATGAGCCACGGCTCACATGTTACTCGCCTCCGTGCCCACTGTGGCCAAGGCTCGGGGGGTGAGGCTGGATTGCAGTTGCGACATCCCTACCTCCTTGCATGAGTGGGGAAGGGCCTCGTTTTTTTGGGCTGGTATGCTGGCCAGCACTACCAGGTGGTTTCGGCTTCGCCACATGTCCTGCGGGTAGTGATTGGGGTTTCCACGGGGCCAGGTCTGTCTTTATGTTAGTTTGTATACTCATTTAGTTGTGGTCAGTTTGAAACTTGACCAGGTTTATGGTGATAGTTCCTGGCCCTTTGGGGCACAGGTCATCGCGGACGATAGTGGATGAATTTTTAGGTAGACATGCGTTCTATTTACATCTACGTGAATTCTCTACCTCTGCCTCTAGTGAAGCATGGTCCTCTGTGGGGGCGACATGAGTTTTCGGCGGTTTTGTTGGGGTGGTGTCCTCCAATGGGGTGAGGGCGGGCAGCTGCTGTTGGCGGGTTCGTGTTCGTGTCCGATTTTTCCTGGGCTTTCGGTGGGAATAGGTCGGGCCAGCATGGGAGGGTGGTAAGGGGGCACTGTAGGGTGGTGTGGTCTCTACCCTTGCAGCATTTGCATGGGGCTGGGGGGTTACATAGGTCTCCTGTGCCGGTGGACAGGTGGAACCATTCCGTGGCTTCGGCTGCGTTTACCCATTTTTGGTGTTTTTCGGTGTCAGCTGGGTGTGGGCTCTTTGCGAGGAAGATCCAGTGGATGGTGGTCGTAGTTCCTCTAGTCACGTTGATGGGTTCTACTCTAGCGGAGTTGACAATTTCCAGGCATTCGTTGCTGTCTGGTACCGTGCACAGGAGGTAGTGACCTATCACTGAGTTAGGGAGGGAGAGGGTTTCCTTCAGGCACTGGAGGACTTTTGTCTTCTGTTTTTCTCCCGCCACGATGGCCCAGTTTCCAAGCCACTCCGACGTGAAGGGGGTTGCAGGGTAGGCAGCGAAGCTAATTTTTTTTGAGAGCCAGAATTGATGGAATAGGAGGGTTGCAGCGTCTTGTGCTTGGAGGCCTGCCACCATAATCCCCCAAGGGTGTGGTTCATAACCATTCATGTCGCCCGCTCTTGCTGCTGGGATTACGTCGAGGGTCGGTCCCAAGGCAGGGAAAGCTCATTCGATGAAGATTTCGACTTCGGTCCTGGCTTCCTGCATTTTGGGGATGGTGTATGACATGTAGAGTGGTACGATGATTACAGTGTGGTTGTTGCAAGAGGGCTAGCGGCTCTCTATGCCGACTAAGCTCGTGGGGCCAAACTCTCCTAAACTCTACTTTCTCCACTAAACTCGGTACGTTCTCGATCCTTAACTCCGTGTGGGTTCTCCGGGATTCCGCAAGGTCCGGGCTCAGTGTCCACTACTCACTCGTTGTGAGCTAGATCACTGCCCTTATTCCTACTGTTGGGATTCCACACACTCACACCCTCTCTAGCGCGTCCTAGCACCTTAGAGAAAATGGGGGAGGGGAGAACTCTATTCCAGAATCCGGTATGTACAGGATATAAGGAACAATTATTTTTAGAACTAATAGATGGGAAATATTGGTACCATATGGCACCTGGGTACCTTATTAGGTGAAATAATAAAAAAGGGTAACAGTAACAATAAAAGAATATCAATCAATAACCGAAATGATGGTGAAATATGAAAATATAAGAAAATACGCGATTTCTCAATGGATTTGCGGAATTATGAGCCGAAATTGGAAATGTAGCCGGAGATAACTCTCACACAGCCGATAAACATTTTTACCAATTTATTAGACGCCGTGGGAACGAGTGAGGCTGGAATTCTGGGTTGCCGCTTGAGATTCCCACGCCCGCACATGCCCGTGCCTAACTTGCCCAACATGGAACTCCGTCAAATCTCCTCCGATTGGGACGTTCTTGGTATCGTCAGAATCGTACGAATTAGGACTATTTTTAGATGTCGAATTTGTATCGGGTTGTTGTGTGAATGGAAGTGGTTTTATAGTCGTGAAATCGGGTATCCGAGCTGGCTCTGCGCGTGGGCGATTATCCCGCCTACATTGTCGGCGTTGTTCCAGGCTTGTTGGCCCCTTTCTGAGACGTTTGTGTGTAGGAGGGCGCTAGTCATGCCTCGTACTTTGTAGGTGAAGTTGGGTGGTAGTGGTAGGACATTGTAGTCGATTTGCGAGTCGTATGGGGTGCAGATAGGTCCGGGGGTCGGTGTGATTGTAGCTCTAGTGGCAGTTACTGCGGGTGTTTTGTTGGGTGCTGTGAGGTCAAGTTGGGACACTGTTACAGGAATGGGTTCCAGGGAACCCAACCTGAGCCGTTCGGCTCACTAATGGAGGTGGCTGCGTAGCCATCAGAGGGAGAGCAGAATAGGATGAGTGTATGGAAGCACAACCTGTGAGTCGGCCAACGGTAACTTGGCGCTCCTGGGAGCATACCGGTAGCGAGTATGATGTGGGCTCCTTGAGGGAGCCACCTGGCTGTCTGCTAACGGGGACTTGGCACTCCTGGGAGTGTGCCGGTAGCGGGTGTGCTGGGAGTGTTTGGCTAGCGGTAACTTGGTGCTCAATGGAGCGTACCGGTAGTGAGGGATACTGGGACTCCCAAAGGGAGTCACCCAGTTGGTGGCTATCGGTGACTTGGCGCTCATGGGAGCGTACCGGTAGCAGGAGTTGTTGGGGGAAGTGGGCTGGTGGACCAGTGCACGGTAGTGGGTGACCATGGGAAGTGGGACCCACAGGTGCGTGGCCAGGCATCCTGGAGCTGCCTGGACCGTATCCTTCTCCTGAGGAGGTGGGATCGGCTACAGTTCCTGATAGGGAACTTCTGGTAGGATGGGAGTAACCACTCGACCACCCGGTGGACTGGTGGGAGCAGGCAGCAGGAGGTTGGGCATGGGAATGCCCTCCTCGTTGCGGTTTTGTCATGGAGAGGATGAATAGGGAGGTGGACATGGTTCCAGGGTTACAGGTTGAGTTTACAGTGGTGGCACAATGGTGAGGATGTTACAAATCGCGGTACAAGGTTTGTGGGTTATGTATTCGATAATGAGAAAACGTCTCGGCAATTACCATACATGTCATATGACTTGTATCTATCTAATACAAATGTTATAATGGCCAAAGGAAGTCCTTTGGAAATCAACAAATCCCCCAGCCAGCACCAAAACCCAGTGGGAAAGCTTGGCATGGGGTTTGGCAGAGAATGAAGTGAGAAGAAGTAAGAAATATCTTACCTGTGTGCCTGGTCTATAGGAGTCTAGGCCCATTTCCATAGCAAAGGGCCTCAAGGTCTGGTTGCCTGTCACGGACCATAAGATTCTCCATTTCCATAACAGACATGGTGGGTGACTTATCCCAGTTTTGGGGCCAGGTGGCTGGTGGGGATGGGGTCACGTTAACTAGGACTCTTTGGCCTGTGTCACTGTCATTCTCGCTCGTCATCTTTGGTTCCTTTCTTGGGGGGGCAAGGCTTTCGGATGTGTTGGAGCTTCCCCTGTCACGTTTGTGTCCTGCTAGGTTGTAGGTGTTGGGCAGTCAGTTTCTTGGTTTCCCCTCGATATTCTGGCTTACTGTGTGGTTTGTTTTGGGGGGTTGGTTCTGTGCTGCATGTCATGTCTTGGGGCTTTCCTCGGGGGACGCCATAGCTGTGCAGTTGTGTGTGGTTGATATTATGGTGTTCTTTATAGTTGGTTGATTGATTGATTGATTGATTTTTTATTTTTTATCTTTATTTTTGTTTTTTATTTTGTTTTATTTCATTTTATCCTTTTTTCTCGCGTGGGGGGTTTTAGTTCAGAGTTGCTCTTGGTTTGCTGGGCTGCCAGGAGGTGTCACTGGGCCTCAACCCTCTCGGGGCTCCGAGAGCCTGCAGGCGCAGGGCCCACCCATGTGCGGTGGGGGTAGAGCCGAGGCTCTGGTGTTTTTTCGATCACCTGAGTGTACCCCTCTCCTTTTTCCACGGTCCCTTTGGTTGTTTGTCCCTTCTTGGCGGTTTTCAGTTTACCTAGTTTAACGACTTTTGCAGTCATACATCTCTCATTTAGTTCACTGTAGTTACCACTCCACTTCCCATTCAGGTGCCGGACCAACTGGCCCCTTTTCTGTTCTCCTTTTGTATTTATACTTGTAGGTTGCCATCTATGTACCTTAGTTCGAATATTGACTAGAAATCCCCCAAAGCTTAGTTTGCCTCCAAGCTTCATCTTCGCCTGAGTCAACATCATGGCAAGGTCCCTCCTGCTAACCTGAAATATGGGACAGCCTAGAATGTTTGGTGCAACGCTCCAGCTGAGTCGTTGAAGCCGAGATCCCAACTCCCACAATGCCTTGCAACGGAGTAGCATATTAGCTAAGTGTCATGGCACACCCACCCAACCTGGCTCCACCCAACCTGGCTCCACCCACCCTCACCCGGTTCCCCGCTTATCCTTATTCCTCACCCTCCATCACTATTCTTCATTCCTTGTTCTTCATTCCTTTTACTCTTTGTTCTATTTCTATCTACATGGATGACCTTTCTCCATCTCTATGTATTATTGACCCACCTGTGATGCATGCATGACACACCTAGCCCCGGACAATGTTGCAGGGATAAACCCTTGCACTACAAAACAAGCTCTTTCATGTACATACAGTGGTGAGTGTAGTTGGGGAGATCCTGTGACTGCACAGCCACAACTATACAGCCATGACACCTAAAACACCGTACTCTAGGACCTCTTTTAGTGACAGTCAGTGAGGTCATGAGACTACTGTCCCCCCTGTGAGCCTGTGTGATGTTGGGATGGATTTCCCTGTTACAACAACCTGGACGGCTTCACGGTGCAACCCAGCATGCACGCTGTAGGAGAAATAACGGTCACACTATGGAAACCCATTATGGAAATATGCCAGATAAATCACAAAACCCCATATGACAAGTAGATATGAGAAAATAGAAGAACCTGAATTTTAATGAGATTTTACGAATTATTACAACTACATACAATAAAATGGAAGAAAGAAAATTAGCAAAAATACTTCAAGCTTAGCATCAACGAGACGGAATTCTCGGGGGAATTTATAGCAAATATTAAACCAAGAATTAGGACAATAGACCAAGATTTGACTATAAAAACAGCCAGAGAACCTCCACATAAACTACTTTCCCACGTCCACACACGTAGCTGAGGATGGAAGTACCACGGAACAAGGATTCCTCAGGAACTAATGCAAAACTCAAAGTTGTGTTTATAATAGGAAATGTAGATGTCCCCCAAACGGACCCAATGAAAGTAATTACAGGGAAAACTACCCATAAACGACGGAGATATGACTAAACCTCCCGGAAAACAAGGACAACGTTTAAAAAGCAAGCGCGAAGAACAACCAGTAACGACCGAGACGAGCTTGATAGCCCATTAGAAAGGAAGGGATCTAATCTTAATCCTCCCAAATTTTCATAATAAAAGGATCACGCATTAATGAGATATCCAATAACGGGAATAGTGACATCAAAAGTCCGGGCTCAGGGAAGAGACGATGTTTACGAAGGATCCATAATTAAAACATACAACGAAATTTACACGGAAAATATGAAAAATGGGGAAGTATAGTTAAGCAAACTTTCAGCTTAAACGGTCCAGCCGTTGTGAAGTTATACCAACGATGGGAATATAGAAATCCACATCATGTTTAATGACACATGAGGGTGGCAATGCAAAGGGAACCGGCTGTCGGAACCGAGATCTGCACTTCGGCAGATTGCGAAGACCAATTTCCATCCAAATAAGGAAGAGCCCGGCCAAAACAAAGCACAGAAAGTGCAAAACAACCTTAGATCATGAGGGAAAAATCTGAAATAAATCACGGAAGCCCATATGAAGGATACAAACACCCGTGCATACCATAAATCCCAAACAATTAAACAGAAACGGCGCCCACATACGAATGACTACAGGAACGATGCACGTGATTACCGAATGTGTGCGCGAACTTTTGCTAACTCGACGAATACCAGGAAATAGAACACAACTTTAGTACCATTGGAAAGGTGGGAATAAATGAGAATTTATGATACCAAGAACGTGAAAAACCA